AGCCTTGAAAATTTGTTGCGGATGTTTCATCATCAGACTTGGTGACGTCCTCACTTCTGGCTTCATAAAGATGTAAAGTACTTCGAAGGTTCCTCAAATGCTCAGGTAGCGTTTACTGACCTTGGGAGTTGTGCATACGTTACTTGTGGGAGAGACTAATACCACATATGACACCTTTCACCTTACATTTCATTTGATCACTCTGGAGTCAAACAACAGCCATGTGGATATAGAACCAATATACAATCTACTTACCAAGAAACCAGCCATCCATTACACAAGTGTAAATCAAACAAATAAATGAATGAAGATGTACAGTGAGATGATTGTAGATGAGGTGATTCCACTGCAATAAGATTACTGAATGAAGTATGAGATAAGAAGAGAAGAGAAGAGTCAAGGTGTGATGATAATCTCTTTGTCAACTAACATTTGGACAAGACTCAAGGTCAGTTTAACAGGCTACTTGGACATTAGTGTAACGTTTGAAAATACTTCATTTACTTATGAAGCCAGAACTGTGTGTTTCTTCGCTAGTGAATCGACAGATTGAATCCCCTGTATTTCTTCCCTCACAACCAATCACTTGGTGAGTTGTCTTCAGGGAATTCCTCATTACTTGTTTACACAGTTGGCTACATGGCTGAAGGCATTTCAATGAGCGAAAATCTTTAATAATGTCCATTAAGCCATTCCATCAGCATAATGTGCAATATGAAAATTTCGCATCCTCGATAAGAAGTGGCTTCATGCTATTCACATTTGACAGTTTTGTACTGGTATGCTTTCGTCATTTGTCTTACATTGGCTGTATTATTATGATCTCACTGACCCACTTGGCAAACTTCTAACTTTAAATGATGTCATCCAGATATCAGGATCAAAGCTCAATCTAATGATTTCGTACTGAGCAGATAAGTGATAATTGAAGTTCATATTTTTGAAATCCAAGCAATGTGTGGAGGTAAAATTCTGACATTTAGTGATGTCTCTGGATCTAATTTATCAAAGGATTAATAGGTGAGAGGGTAATGTCACTAGTGTTTTGCAGTTGATGATGAGGATATTGAATGAATCTTGATGTGCTTGTACATATGTGAGTGAGAATATTCTAAAAAGCTTCATAACTAACAATCTCGGTCTGTTATGCTGCATTTACTGATGCAAAATTTGTTTGCTGTTAACAAGCTTAAGATTACATAGAATACAATTGCAATCTGTCATACTCTGTAATTGAAACTACTTTCTTCGACATTTCAGTGTTTAAGCTATCAGTTATACGTGGTGTTAACTACCATTGCAGTTTTCCAAAACAATCCTCATTTCTTCATTCTAACCATCAACGTTCTTAAATCACTCCGTCTTTCTGTCATTTTACAATATTTGAGCGCTGCACAGTATGAATTATCACCGCCTCTCTTTGCATATATGTAGACCAAATAAAATTTCATCACTCCATTCAATTTGTATTTGCATCTTGTCAACGATCAGCTTACTCTCTATGTAATTGGTCATCAATGAAGAGGATTGTTTCTGGAAAAGATTACTGAACTGGTCAAAACTACTATACAATATTTTTGTGGATGGAACTTGTGATCGAAGTAGGTGTTCAACATACAAAATTATTCTATTGCTCTGTCAAAAGATGCTTATCTCATAGTTCGGTCATAATTAGTGTAATACAAGATGACGTGTAGATGGAGAACAGACTGCAAATCATTTCAAGAACTTGATGTCACAGACACGTGGTTTTATTCTCGCTTGTGGATCAGAGTGGAAATATCTGATTGCAACTCTGGAAGACTTAAGTCATATTTATCAGAAAACGAATGTGACACGTATGGTAGTAATCACCAAAGATCACTTGCAGAGAAATCCTGGCTGTTAACATCATGTTAGAAGTAGTGCTGATGATATTGTTTATGAAGGCGATTCAAGCTGTAATACAAACAGACCAGTTTAGACAATATAACACTGCTAGGATAATCCTCTTCACTCATGAATATCCTCAACTGATGGAAAATCACTTATGCGTAGTATTCTTACTTTTCACTGTGCTATTCATCAAACACTGACAACAGTTTGAGAACCAGTGAAAACATAGGAGGACTGGGGAGCTGTTTCCTCCTGGTAAATGGTCTCTTTGGTAGTACACACCAACCACCTAATAAACAGTCCATCCTGAATACCACCTTGAAATCAACTAATATCGCCAAACCCCAGAAATGATTCTTTATTTTTTGTACAAACGTAGGACATACTTTCCATCCTGAACTAACAGACGTCTCGTTCGACATTCTTTGCCTAGAAGTCTCAGACTGAGACCGATGTGCACAGAAGATGGTGTTTTAGTTGATGACATATGTATATTTCACAAACGAACTGTCATTGCAGTTTGTCCAATCACTCCGCACTTATTCATCCTTACTACACAGAAAGTGAAAGTTTTCATTGTGCTCCTCTATCACATCCACTTGCACTCTCAAGCATTTTCACCAGCATATTTCGGAAATTCATATTACATTGAACACCTGAAAACTTCAGTGATGAATAATTGACACCAATATTCCTAATACTTCTGTTTTACATATATCTATTCACTGTGTATTCTGACCCACCGCATTTACTTCTGAAACATGATAACTTATGTCTGTTTCACTCTCTGATGAAGTGGCTTCCATGAAATCGCAATATGTCAGAAATCCATCTACCTGGTCAGCTTCAGTAGGAAGCTCACTTTGCAAATGACTTGGAAATTGCATGCTTCATGTTAACAATTCTCACTGTTGAGTAGGTTTTCAACAGCCCAACTGTGTTCCCAACATTGTTTCGATTTGAAACCAGCCAACCAAGATCACAAGGTGTCTTCTTTGACACAAATGTGTCGTGAAATACCGAAATATACTACTGAAAATGAAGAGTAGTTGGATATCAGTCACTTTTATCTACAGATTTCATCAGACAGTTCGAAGTGGTGTGATGTGGCAAAACCCACACATCAGTGTGAGTGGTTTCCATCTACTCATGTTGTAAAGTGACATACATCTAGTAGCCTTCAACTTGACACGTATGCATCTCATCTTCTAGCCATCCATCGACTCAACACTCAATTAATGTGGCACTTCCAAATCAAGTTTTCATCGTGATACCGTTGCATGTCAGCCAGTTGATATCAAATATTTGAGAGACAGATCCTTATGATTCGAGACTGTCAAGTAAAGGAAGGCAGCTACAGATGAATACCAAAGCAAATTAAACTTCAAGGGGTATGTGCCTTTTAGGTTTTACGTAAAAGGGAATTACACAAACCTAAGACTCCTAAAAATACTAATAATCTGTTTTTTGAGGCCTCCTGTATGCATTCCACTCAAATTATTCAGTTGCTTTGTTTGTTCATATGGATACCTCGTCAATATTTACAACAGTCTTGGGAAGCATCATAGAAGTTGGAATAAACAACAGTGAATTACTGATGTCCTTGTATATCAAGGTGCTACCTACATCGAACATTCAAACGACAATATATCTGAGTTCTTCATAGATGGTGAGAGGCTTTCGGGACCTACAGAAGATCAATTTTGTGACTGCATGGCATCGTATTACAAAGTTCCTCTCACTGGTGGGTTACGAATTGGTGAATGTCATAGTTTGTATGCATTCAACACTGACATACAGTTATGGATAATGAACACAAAAAGTGCTGTTCACATTCTACTGAAAGACACATGAAATATGATGGGGAGTGCAGGATATATTGCTCCAGAAGAAGGCGAAAGCCAGCTGAAAACCCAGCTGTTTGTGTAGTTGTTTGACTGGGGCAGACAGTATCTGTCAGGTTTATTATAGAGAAATTGTGTTCTCAGATGCTGGTTAATACTAGACTAATAAAGTGTCAATGAGAAAATCTTTGACCACAGTTAGCAATGTATCAATTAAATGCGAATGACACTGACTTTGAGCAAGGTTGAGTGTGAATATTTAGAAGTTTTGCGTTGAAAATATCAGCTGTCTTTTTATGCGTTCAAGTGAGTCGGATTTATAAGTTTTCTTAGAGTAGGGAGCTCATAGTCCAGTGGTAAAACAAATGAGCAGATGGGAAATGCTTTTTGAAGTTTACTGGTATGCTGAATGGTTTTGGAGCTACAATGCACAGAGGTGAGATAATCATGTTGCCAGTAAGCAATCCAATCAACAGTTTAAATTTACTCTGAGGAGGATATTTACTGATCCACATCAAGGATTAGATGAGAAGTACTCAGAACTTCTTCAGTCATTCTTTTGCTGGGCCAAACGGATAGCTAGCAGTTACTGATATTTTAGTCACAACAGTCAACTAAGTTAAAATGTAACGTCACCTGCAAATAATGGCGGCAATCACTAATCAAATCTTCAACTACATTAACATTCATTCTTCAAAAAGTGAAACACACTGTTGTGAATAAACCAGATTTGGAAGTGAAGAAAATTGGTTATTGAACCGCTTAATAAAGATTAATCATGAATAAGACATCACTAAAAATATGTCTTCTATTCATCATCTACAACATCATCAATCATAGAAGTGAAGAAAACTACTGTCGTGGTAAATAAGAATAACATGACACAAATCATAACGTGAATAGGGCAGGTATGTTGCTTACTGCCAGGATATTCAAGCCATAACTGACCTCCTGTACTTATATATACTGTGAGTTTTGAATACTATTTTCAGATTCAGAAGTAAATCTGATAAATTTGACTGATCACACGACATTCACAACTTCAACCACACCGAAATATCTGTGTGTGATAAAAGTAACTCCGTTCACACAGCCCTTTTGAGGCAGACGGCAGCTGCATTTTCAAGTCGAGACATGTTCCCTTCTTTCTGAGGAGATGAATTTGAAACGTGTAGTACAATTCATTCACATCCTGTACATCAAAATCTGTTCAATTACTAGTAAATACCACATTTATTTACTTCTATCACTATTGTTAAATATTTATTTGTTAGGAAGCAATTAGTTAGAATTGTGTTTGTTAATATGAAAGTCAATATAATGTGATGAAAGTACTGAGGTCGCTGCTGTAGTTGGTTCTATTGTCTGTTTGATTAATCCATACGAAACCCTGATATATGGAGAAAAACAGTCCTACCTTCTGTAACCATAAAGCATACGCCATGAACAAAGCTGATGCAAGCGTTTTGTCCAGGTAAAGTTCTCGTAGCTTAATGGTAATGAAGATCACCTGAAATATAATGTGAAGCGTATTGTTAAACCGATTTTGAAATTCACTATAATGAAGCATAAAACATATTGCTTGAATAACTGCTTAGCTGTTCATGCATTTTCACGAATTTACAGCTAGGGAAATTTAAACGTTGAATTTAAAATTCGACGCATTCATGAGCTTATTCTCACTATGGTTGTGACAACTGAATATTTAGTGTGTCTCGTTATCAGTATGCTTCTAATCCACGAATGAAGGACTTGTAGTGGAACAAGTTCAATGCCCTTGTTTTTTGCCAGTTGCCTTCAACTTTCCAGTTTTAATACTTTTGACAGCGGCATCATAATACTGTGAAGTAACCACATTCGAAAGCGATTTACACGTCATCAGTTTCTATGTTGTGAATAGATGAGTTTGAATGTGATGAAGCAATGTAATTAAAATTGTCATTTTCATCTAGACAGGGTTATTTTATCGTAATGGATTTCAGTGGGAAAATCAGATGTGACGTAAACTTTCAACAAAAGAAAATGATGAACTGATGGCTAGATCGTTTGTCCTCGCTGGATCCCTCACTGTTGTCTTCAAACTGATTGCAGGCAACTTCGCCTTACCTGAAGTTAACTGGAAGGCCGGTCGCGGCCCACAACGCTTTGATGAAATACTTACTGTCATAGATATCTATGGCAGGAAGCAATACATCCAGCAACCCAAGCGTGGAGATAATATACTGGACCTAGTCTTTTGCTGTGACATCATCCCTGTCACTACCCACTTTAGTAGCTTATTCTCTAACGGTGACCATAGGATGGTATTCTGTTGCTTACCAATTCTTCCTCCCAATGAGAAAAGCAAACAATCTTCAAATTATACTTGGCATAGAAGCTAAAAGAATACAGAATGGGAAGTACTCATCGAGCTCCTCAGATGCTCTCCATGGGATGACTACTTTACCACAGCCTCATTAACACATACACTCTCACTTTTCTACAGAAACATAGAGCTGTGTCTAGATACTGTTGCTCCTGTGAAAACAGGGTTTATTAGGAGCCAGACCCATATATCCCTAAAATATTCCTCAATAAACTTAGGAAATTATCATCACAATACCACTAGTCGAAAGACTTCGTGTCACTGCACTTAGTTTAAGAGACTTCCGAATCTATCAAGACACTACGTGCAAAACACGCAGTAAACGAAGAGATCGTCGCCTTCAAAAGTGGCTCTAGAATACACAAGTTGACATCTCTTTTGAGTAAACGTCTGAAGCCATCAAGGGATGTAGCCTATATACTACATAATGGGGTGGTACACAACGATCCCCTCAAGATTAGTGAACTGTTAAGCGAATTGTTCGCTAACTTCAAACCCAATGCCCTCAACCCCACTAGCTTTACTCCAGTTGCCACTAGTTCATGTACTAGAGTGGAGTTTACTGTCAAAAGTATCACTGAGGCTATCAAAAGCCTGAAACTATCGACAGATACGGGAATGGATGGCCTAAACTCAATACTCATCAGAAACAGTGGTGATGATATGCCGCTGTTCTTGCCCAAGATATTCACACTATCAATAGAAAGTGGGGGTATCCCAGCGAGTGGAAAACTAGCTTTATAATTCCTCGCTACAAGTCAGGTGACAAAGCGAATGTTGGGAACTACAGACCTATCAACATAACGCCAGTCATCTCCCGAATTATGGAAAAAGTGATTAAGAGCGGCATGTCTGACTACCTACTTAGAGAAAACCTCATCACAAAGTCTCAACACGGTTTCATTAAAAACAGGTCTTGCGTTACTTGCCATTTCGACTTCTTCAGCCTCATCACTAGTAGCCGTGAGGCACGTAAAATCGTCATTGTTCTATACTCTGATATACCAAAGGCGTTTGACAAGGTGCCACACAGTATTCTCTTTGATAAGCTACAATCGTTTGGCATCCATGACCCTTTACTTCATTGGCTAAAATCATTTCTTAGTGATCGTAGTCAAATCGTCGAAGCAAATTCTATGCAGTCTATACCTAGGCTCATAACTAGTGGAGTAATGCAGGGTAGTGTCCTTGAACCTTTCTTGTTCATAACTTATATGAATAGTGTGTGCAACTGCTTCACTGCAGGAGAAGCATTGCCATACGCTGATGACCTTAAGGTTGTATACTCATGTCACACCCATGAACTAGGTAACACGTTATCTACTGCTAAACAAGAATTAGGTGAAGTTGCTAAATGGTGTGACGAGTCCCATCTCCAGTTCAATATTGATAAATGTGGTTGGCTTAGCATAGGCAGCGATAACCTAGATGTGTCTCTCGAAGTATGTGGGCAAAAGCTACGTAGACGTTCTTCAGTGCTAGATCTTGGTCTTAGATATTCCAGTGACTTAACATTCTCAGAGCAGATGGCTTGTATCACATCTAAGTCACGTAGACTCCTTGGATGCATCGTCCGTAACTTTTGTAGCACTGAACCAAGGGTCCTACTCTACAAAGTGAGCATCCGCCCAATTTTAGAGCACTGCCCGTTCATCTTAAGTGGCCTTCGTATAAGCGACAAAGGAAAAATTGAAGGAGTACAACGCCACTTTACACTAAGAACACTAGGAGCTGACTGACTGCAGCCCAGACTACATCTCGAGATGCAACATGCTAGGACTGGAACCTCTCTGGAAGAGGCAACTTAGAATGAATCTTATATTTTACTATAAATTACTTCGTAAGCAAGTGCACTCATGTGGCCCGGAAGTTAAAATAGTTGTAACATCTACTCACTGTTTACGTAATCACAACCTATTAGCGGAAAATGAGTGTTGTAAGACCAAATTGCAAAGAAACTTCTTCCTTAATAAGTTCTCTCGCATCTGGAATAGACTTCCTGAGGAAATACGTGCAGCAGGCTCATCATCTATCTTTCGCTCTGCACTTAATAAGCCCTGACAGATGACGAGTCCATCACTCGCCTAGGCACTATATATACGTTCTGGGCTAATGAAAGCACACTAGGACCTCGAAACGTATAGAGTAAAGCTATTATAAATCTCAAGTACTTTTTATCTCAATGGACTTATAAAGGGTGTTTGATTACTAGTCCATCTGGTTGGATTGTGCATTACAAATACATAACCAGTGTTCCCTTTAAGTTTACTGACAAACTGCCTATCTAATAACTCGTGTGAACTTCATATAAGAAAAAAAGGAAGATTCATTCTCATACGAATAAATTAAAGTTTAAATGTAGTCCTAATGACTTTAAAAAGACAAGAACTTCTCTCCTCCCAGTTTGTTTTACGTGGTATTCCATTGTCCAGTTTCTCCTTGTGCTCTCTTTTCTCTTTTCAGTATCAGCCTGACGAGAAAGTCCTAAGCATGAGTTCGATCAAAAAGTATCAACTTGCTGGAAATCCTGATTCGTACCTAACACTGGAAACTGATGTTAGAGGTATCCAACTGGCTAGCCCCGATTTCCCTGTTTCTTGAACAGCTTCAAAACCAACTCACCTCCCTACCAGTACCCTAAATGCTACCATATACGAAACCCCAAGCACAATAACTGGTCTCCGATTTCTGGTCCGTGACAAATGCAGTGGAAATCTGGATAAACAATCCAAGCGTAGGGATTACTTCACCTAACGGAAACACATCCATAATAATGCTATGTAACAGATTTCTCTAGTACTTTGTCTTGTATCAGTCCATCTAATAGAAGTCAGTTAACAGCCAATGTATCTCCTTGACAATGTTGCATACTTTAATGTGAAGTCTATGAAGTTTTACGCATGTGTAATATTCACCACTGTTGAACGACGATGTCTCCAGTCTTTAATTACTTGCACCACAACAAATGTTTTCAGTACTACTAATCTGAATTGCTGTAATAGGTAACACTTGAAGAGTGAGAAACGCCTGAACCTAGACATTCACCTGGATTAAATGATTGTATGGATACTTACTTATTCCTGAAATCATTGAAAATTACTGTTAAAATAGACGTTTATCTGACGAAAGACTGGGTTTTGCAGATGAGTCAATCATGTCGACTACTCACAACACAATTTCGAATATTGCGCCTTTTGGTGTGATGAAAGAATTGTGAGCAGAAATGACTTAAACTCAGAACGATGTGTATGTACTGTAAAGCGATATTTTCCTGCTATTTTCATAACACTTAGACACTTGGTATCATGATAGAGTCTAATGTACTCCCTCTGTATCATTCAATACTGCTAAAACCTTTTACGTTTCTCTGCAACTACCAATTTGATGAGGCCTGTAAACTGGCTTCTCTCATGTTAACTTCATAACTTGAGAATAAAGATATTTATTTATTTTATCTGTTTATACTTTTGCCACATGACAAGAATACGGATTTTATCGAAACAACGAAGTGTGGGGATGAGTTAATCTCATGATTCCACATTATTCGTCTGACTCAACTGATATTCGGTTTGGAACTTAGGCGGATGCTTGTGCATTCAGCACTACTATATCCCATCAATATATTCTTCAAACACATGTTGGCCTAACCCATCATTGAAACAGTATAACGCATAATGCAAAATATCCCATTCGGCAATTTTAGGTGGACATAGCATAATTAATGCATTTGGAGAGCTGACTCATGCTGGTGTTACCATACAGCCTCGAGTTATTGACGATAGATTTTAAAGGGAAAAATACGATTATGTATTAACCATCGAGTGCTCCCGATGACAGCATATTGCCAGAGTTGGGCACTGGGTCACACTGTAACTGCATATTCGATTCATTTCTGTGACATGACACCCTGTGATAGTGTTGTACACTTGATGACATTTTGGGCATCAATGATTGCTCATTATCATATCAGTGTTGTCATACATCTTTGGATATTTCATTTTATAGTCCCATCACCTCGTATTTTGGTTTTGATTGGTAGTAGTAAATTTCCCACATCTCTGATATAGCTGTTGCCTTGTTCGTATTACTTGTTTTGGATGTTGACTCGATGAACAAACATTCACTAAATAATCTCTATCTCAGCTAACCACATAGGATTTTTCCCACCTTATTCTGTGGTTGGTTGTGTGTTAAGACTTTCATTGCAATAGCAAAGCCTTTTTCTTGCTTATTGATCCTATTCGGGTCCGTCACTCTTTATTTGCCTAAATTTTTATGCTCAGATGAGATAACTGACGCCGACCAAAGCTTACCTCTGAATGAGTTTGTAGTTTTATATGTAACATCAATCCCAGCCTTGGTTGTCATTTAAACACACAAAATCAATCAGAGATGAGCCTTGTCAGCTTAAACATCTCACAGATCCAATTCAGCAAATTGATCCAGTCTAAAAAAATTCCATGCAATGTGTATGAAGTCAGATAGATAGGTCAGGCTAGTCGATCGGGTTCAGTGAGACTATCGGAAAATGTCACTAGCACTAAAATCAAAGAATATGAGGTGTTAGGACGATGTCAATCAGATGTTGAGAGTGGAGTGATTAAAGTGCTCTGATTATGAGCAATAATTTATCCTTGAAACACCATCAAGTAAATGATACTATGTCATTGTGTGCAGAATGAAATGAGTAAATCTACTGAGGATATTATACTAAATGTGTTAACCGGTGTGGAATACATCAGGAGTATACTGAACAGGATTTGTGTGAAAGAAATAGCCGAACTATCCAACACTTTTCTATAAAATGGTAAAATCGAAAGTATGCAAGTGAGGTAGAATGATGCATTGATGAAGTAATATTCATTGGTGAATGACAATGATGTTTACCCCTGAAAATGTCTAAGAATATTTAAATAAATGTTGTATTTAAAACTTACAATAAACATTGCGAGACTCCAGCAAACACCAACTACAATCATCAATTGAGGCTGAAGTAGGAAACGAAAAATAATAGTAAGTATATTTCATGGAAAAAGGTAAGGTTCACTACGATCCCAGCATGAATATAAAATCACAAACAAGACTTTTCTGTTAGTAAACATGTCACAGATGATATGATGCAAAAACGAACAGGTGCATCAGTGGTTCGATTCCAAGCTTCACTGGCTCACTACTCACTGGTCGGTTCTAAGGCCGGATGAAGAGCGAACGTTGGGCATACGACTAGCAAACATAAACCGTAAAACCAAGCCAATAGCTAAACAAACTTCAAAGCACAGAGAAAACATAAAAAGTAAAAATAAACTCATTCCTCGCTGGAATCGAGAAGACGAAATGACACCGGTTGGTGAAAGCCTTCCGGAAGCCAATTGGCCAATGTGTCTTCTCTCCCTCGATGAAATCAAAAGTAAGCATAAGAACATGGAATGTGCGCAGAGTGTTTGAATCTGGCTGTCAGGCTGGCTGGCAAGGCTACCCGGATTGCAAAAGAGACTAGAAGGTAGAGCGTAGAAGTGCAAGGAATCTTCGAGGAATCTGTGGATGGAATGGAAGTGGACTCTCCAAACTGTCAACTGGACAGTCAATTATCTACTCCGTCACTGTCATCCAAACGACAACCACGAACACAGCACACTGAGTCTTCGAGTGGCTATCATGATTTCTTCAAGAGCGTCGAAGCCTCACATGCAATGGAACCAATCTCCTCCTGCATTGCATGAGGTGTGGCAACTCGACCGTTCGCAGTAATGCCTGGTCCTATGTTGATATGATGATGGTGATGAGGATCAGGATCGTGACAGCAAGATGCATTCAACAGAAAAGGAAGGAGAATCACAATCATACAATGACAATGCTACACCATGCACCTAAAAATAGTGAGCATCAAGAGAAGAAGGAGGAATTCGACAGACAAATTCAACCAGTTATGGACAAGATCCAACACCAGTTGGCGACATCGAAATTCATTCCAATGGGTGGGGTGACATGCGTGCCAAACTAGGAGCGGACAAAACAGGGAGAGAAGCGATCATGGGTCGAGAGGCACTTGGTGAAATGATGAATGAGAATGGAGAACTGTTTGCAGACTTTGGTGCATTCAACCATTTGGTGATTGGAGTCAGGCAGTGTGTGCAAGCACGAGGATATTCACAAGGCAGCGACATGGATTTGATTTCACCAGTCACCAGGACACACTACACTAAAAATCAGATCGACTTCATGTCAATGTGAAGAAAGTGGATAGAAGTTGAAGAAGAGGAGCAGATGTATGTTCACACCACCAGACTATCTAGTGCAAGCAGCCCACCTTCAAAATCAAGATGAAAAACTGCAAAGAAGTTGGTGATAGACGACCACAGTTTACGTTGAACACCCAGAACAGAGACTGAAGTGAAGGACGAAACTACAAGGAATATCTTCACATCAGTCAGTCATCAAGAAGAAATGGGATACATTGGACAGCATTCTTGAAGAAACCTGAATGGAAGAACACTGAACTGTTTGAAAGAGACATGGAAGGAGACTTGCACAAGTGTATTAGGAAGGAAGAAGAATGAAGACAAGGAATGGAATGGGATGGATGTCGACGGACACATGGAAGGTGATAGAGGAGGGGGAGGAATATGGTGAAGCAGAAGATGAACCAGTACAGTAGAATACAGTACAGTGTAGTGTAGTGCAGGGATGAACAACGAATAGAGGTACTGAACACAACGTATGAAACACTACACTGGACAAGGAAGTGAAGAAGAGTGTGTGGAAAGACAGAAGTCACTTCTATGACACACTGGCAAATGAAGCAGAACAGGCTGCAGGTAGTAGTGACAGAGATCTGACAACATTGAATCAAATAACCAGGTTAGTATCTGAGAGGGAAGAGACCAACACAACACAGATGGAACCAATGAAAGGTGATAATGAAGGAAACCTAGCTACCACGAAATCGGAGAAACGAAGGAAACGATGGACGTGTCACTTCGAAAAACTCTTGAATCGACCACCAGCACCACCACAAACACCTGCAAATCGTCGAGAAATACCACCAGCAACCTCAGAACAACCAGTGAACACCGACCCTCCGATTAAAGCAGGAGTGATGTCCTGAAGAGCATAAAGTTGGTGAAACCCGGGAAAGCAGCAGGACAAGAAGATGGAATTCCTTCAGAAACACTGAAAACAGACACAGAGACAACAGCGGGCATGTACTCACACCATTACTGTAGAAGGTATCGAAGGAAGGAAGGAAGGAAAGGTACCTGCTTGTCGATTAGAAGAAGGGCTACCTTGTCAAACTCCCAAATTAGGACAACCTAAGTCTTTGCAAGAACTGGCGCGGAATCATGCTCCACTCCTTTCCACACAAAGCAAGCAAAATATTAAGCCGCATCATCCTGGAGAGACTAAACAATGCACTGGATTCATAATTACGACAGGAACAGGTTGGCGGAATGACTGACTGGCTGGCTGGCTTGCTGCTGGATTCTGGAAGAACGAATCATGTGCGGACCAAATTGCAATGCTGCGCTACTTATCATCATAGAATAGAGCGTAGAATGGCAGTCAACTCAACTCTACCTCAACTTCATCGATTTTGAAAAGGTTTTCGACAGTGTTGACCGAGAAGTAATTTGGCAGGCAGCTGCTTCAACACTACGCTTTTACTGCCACAACACTTTATCAACCTCATTCAACAACTATATGAAGACGCTACATGCTAAGTGACTGACAATGGAAAGCTCAGTGATGCCTTTGAAGTGAAGACAGGAGACAGAAGTGAGACAAGGTTGCCACCTACTACCACCCATCATCCTCCTGATTGTGGTCGACTGAACTGGACTGGATCATGCAACAGACAACTGTGAGGAGCTGTGATAAGATGGGCATACGCTGGCTGGACTGATGCGATGAAAAGAGCCTAAAGATTTGGATTTCGCCCACGATGATTTGTGTCTAATGTCGCATAAACTTAGAGATGTACAGGCGAAAAGTAACAGGTTGGCAGAAGAAGCAGTGCAACGAGGACGGGACTTCAGGTGAACTTAGAGAAGTTACAGGCAGAGGTGATGAAGATACCCGACAACAACAAGCACCAATGATTATCAACTGGAGAAGTCTAGACGAAGTTGTCTCTTCCACCTACCTGCCTACCTATGCACGATCGTTTCAGCTACAGGTGGCGACACAGATGATGATGTCAAGGTCAGGATTGGAAAGACAGCAAGACAGGTCTTCATTAATCTGAAACCAGCGTGCAGTTCTACTGCACTCAGGACAAACAATAAGATTTAGATTTTCAAGTCAGTGCTTCTATGTGATGGTTGAGAGACTTGGAGCGTCATGAAAAGCATTTCCAACAAACTGGAGGCATACATCAATAACTGCCGCCTACGCTCACTCGATACTGAAGATCGATCAGATGGTGAGAATAATAAGAATAAGCAACAAGAAACTCCGGCTGACTGGTGACGAACCAACCAACGAAGAACCTATCGCCCAACAAATATGCAGAGGAAGAAAGTGGAGGTGGATTGGACTGAACATACACTGAGAAGACACTTTGGAGACATCACGTGTCCTGCCAGGCCAGGTCGTCGAGCGGAATCCAAGTAGGAAATGACGAGTTGGGAGTCCGAGGAGAGGGTGACATGGAGGAGATGGTGTGAGGAAGAGATGAAAGCTTGTGGGCAGTGGTGGAGCCAGGTTATAAAGACTGGGGAGAAGAGAGTGAAATGAAGACGTGCTACTGAAGCCCAATATTCCACTAGGAACCCATAGGACAAATAATATAATAATAATGTGATCGCTCTTCAACTTAGCTCTCATTTATGATTATGTATACCATCTCATTGGCTTGCAGATGAAAATTCACAGCTGCTGAACCCTTATGTCACTAAAATTAACTTAATGCAGTTCAGCACTCACGAAGATAGTCGTCAGTAACACATTGTACATGAAACAATGTTCCCATGATTGCATAAAGTGTATTCATTTGGATAGATGAACACATTAATATGACAGGTAATACTTGTTTTCGGTGAATAAAACATCAATACGTACGAATATGACACTTGTTGAGTGAGACATCTAACAGCTTGAATTTGCAAAATTCTTGACATCTAAATGAGGAATATGTGTACCAATTCCATAACATAATGTGTGTGAGTTATGCTTATTGAGCAGTGATGACAATAATTTGTTTTTGCATGATGCATTATATACACACATTAGCCTGAAACCAGTGTGGAGATCTTCTGCACTCCACTCAGCATGTGGAACAACATCCGGATTTTCAACACCAACGTCAGTCAAGTCAGTGCTTCTATATGGTTCAGAGACTTGGCGCGTCACGAAAGGGATTTCCAATAAACTACAGACATTCATCAACAACTGCCTACGCTGGCTCGCTGCTGAAGATCAGATGGCCGGAATAATAAGAATAAGCAACAAGGAGCTCTGGGAACGAACCAACCAACAACCTATCACTCAACAAATATGCAGAAGGAAGAAAGTGGAGATGGATTGGGCATACACTGAGAAGGCCGACTGCAGACATCACGCGTCAGGCCCTCGAGTGGGACCCCGATGGGAAGAGACGAGTTGGGCGTCCGAGGGTGACATGGAGGAGATCAGAGATCGTGCGAGGAGGAAATGAAAGCTTGTGGGCTGTCGTGGAGCCAGGTTCAAAAGATTTCAGAGGACAGAGTTCACTGAAGACGTGCTACTGAAGACCTATGTTCCATTAGGAACCCAAGGGACTGATAATAATAATAATAATAATAATAATAATAATAATAATAATAATATATTATATACGCACATAAACGTTCACCATACTTCAGTGGAAGCAATTAGTGCACGCAACTTACAAGGAGAAATTCTAATGAAAAAACGATCAATCCGATTACAACCAACCCAGCGGCTATCGAAATGAATATCAGGAACCCTTCAACAGTAACATTTTTAGTGAAGAAACCAGAAAGTGCTGCCAGTATGAAAATTGCAACCGTCATGCATAAGATAATGATGGCGTAATGAACACTCTGAACGAACAATGCTATTGATGCGCAGACAGAAACTAATATGACCTAAAGTTTAATTAAAAACATTGAAAGAGCATTTTATAAACATTATATTATTTTTAATGTTGTGTTTATCGAAGACTAACATGAGTTTGTGAAACATTTAAAATCTGGCAGCAGTGGACAGTTGGTTCATTCGAGTATAGATTTCCTCAACGGTACGATCCTACAACCAATGCAGTGACTGAACCCAGGCCCTTCACCTCTTATGGCGAACGCATTAAACATTGGATAACTGGATTGAAGTTCATTCATGCACAATTTACTACTTATAACGGGTAAACCTACTGCAAAGAATGCTGTTGACTAATTATGATTATTTATCCCTTGGGTTCCTAATGGAACATAGCGCTTCAGTAGCACATCTCAAGTGCACTCTTTTCTCTGCAATCTTTTCAACCTGTCTCCACGACTACCCATAAGCTCTCATTTCCTCCTCGCACCATCTCCCCATGTCATCCTCACCTCAGATGCCCAAATACTCGCTTCCCATCTCGATCCCACTCGAGTGCCTGGACTGGTACGTGATGTCTCAGTCCGCCTTCTCAGTGTATGACCAATACAATCAATCTCCACTTTCTTCCTTCCACTGCATATTTGTTGACTGATAGGTTCTTGGTTGGTTCGTTAGCAGGCCAGAGTTCCTTGTTGCTTATTCTTATTATTCTCGCCATCTGATCTTCAGTAACAAGACAGCGTAGGCAGTTGTTGATGAATATCAGTAGTTTGTTGGAAATACCTTTCGCAACACGCCAAGTCTCTCAACCATCACATAGAAGCACTGACTTACTTGACTTGACTGACTTGGTGTTGAAAAATGGGATGTTGTTCACGCCTTATGCTGAGTGCAGAAGATCTCCACAGTGATTATTTCAGAATGATGAAAGCCTGTCTTGCTTGCTTTTCCGATCGTGACTGGCTTTGACATCGTCGTGTGTGCCGCCACGTGTAGTTGAAACAGTGCTGCCTAGATAGGTGAAGGAGGCTATTTCCTCCAGGTTTCTCCCATTGATGGTGATTGGACTTGTTGTTGCTGTGGTTTTTGGTGAAGGTGTTGGTTGAGTATAATCACCACCCCTGTCTTCTCTATGTTCTCTACGTTTCAGTTAAAATATGCTCGGCGAAAGATTCAAATTATTATTATTATTATATTATTTGTCCTATGGGTTCCTCTCTTTACCCCAGTCTTTCCAACCTGGCTCCACCACTGCCCACAAGCTTTCATTTCTTCCTCACACCATCTCCTCCATGTCACTATCGACTAGACATCCATTCCATTCCATTCCTTGTCTTCATTCTTCTTCCTTCCTAATACACTTGTGCAAGTCTCCTTCCATGTCTCTTTCAAACAGTTCAGTGTTCTTCCATTCAGGTTTCTTCAAGAATGCTGTCCAATGTATCCCATTTCTTCTTGATGACTGACTGATGTGAAGATATTCCTTGTAGTTTCGTCCTTCACTTCAGTCTCTGTTCTGGGTGTTCAACGTAAACTGTGGTCGTCTATCACCAACTTCTTTGCAGTTTTTCATCTTGATTTTGAAGGTGGGCTGCTTGCACTAGATAGTCTGGTGGTGTGAACATACATCTGCTCCTCTTCTTCAACTTCTATCCACTTTCTTCACATTGACATGAAGTCGATCTGATTTTTAGTGTAGTGTGTCCTGGTGACTGGTGAAATCAAATCCATGTCGCTGCCTTGTGAATATCCTCGTGCTTGCACACACTGCCTGACTCCAATCACCAAATGGTTGAATGCACCAAAGTCTGCAAACAGTTCTCCATTCTCATTCATCATTTCACCAAGTGCCTCTCGACCCATGATCGCTTCTCTCCCTGTGTTGTCCGCTCCTAGTTTGGCACGCATGTCACCCCACCCATTGGAATGAATTTTGATGTCGCCAACTGGTGTTGGATCTTGTCCATAACTGGTTGAATTTGTCTGTTGAATTCCTCCTTCTTCTCTTGATGCTCACTATTTTTAGGTGCATGGTGTAGCATTGTCATTGTATGATTGTGATTCTCCTTCCTTTTGAGTTGAATGCATCTTGCTGTCACGATCCTGATCGTCATCACCATCATCATTATCAACATAGGACCAGGCATTACTGCGTAACGGTCCGAGTTGCCACACCTCATATCAACACATCAAGTAAAAAGGTAGTGAGGTGAAGGATGAAGATAAGTGAATGCAGTCAAAAGAAATATAAAGTACGAGAAGAAAGGAAAGAGGAGTGACAAAATGGTGAGATTCGGTATAGCGTTGTTAAGATGAGGATAATGTGTGTATACATCTGCGCCACTGACTTCGGTTCTGAGCCATATCACCTAGGGTCTCCAACCACTGGTTCCTCTTGTCCCGTGGACCCCAACCACCTAGTCTGCATCGTCCTACATGGCTTAAACCAACAGTCAGAGACTTCATACATTGGTGCCATGTTTTAGTCTGGCCACCTCGGGCCTTTTTCCAGCCTGAACCCACCTCAGCCAACATTGTGTGACGAGGCAATCGGTGACTAGGCATACGTAGTACGTGTCCCAACCATCTCAGTCGATGAAGGTTCACAACCTCGTCGACTGACTTACCTCTTCTCCCTAAAACTCTACACCTAACTTCTGCATTACTCACATGGTGACACCACGGAATACGTCCTATACTACGAAGGCAACGGTGGTCAAACACCTGAAGCCTTTTCATGTCTTCCACTTTCAATGGCCATGTTTCACAGCCATACAGTAGAACAGAGCGGACTGCTGTGCAGTACACGCGACCCTTAATAGACAAACGAATATCACGGCGGCGCCATAGGTGGCGCAAATTGGCAAAAGCCAATCGAGCCTTTTGTATCCGTGCAGAAATCTCATCGGCAACTAACCCACCAGGGTTGATCCTACTTCCCAGGTAAGTGAAGTGGTCAACACACTCAACCACTTCACTCTCTATTGTTAACCGCGGTACCGCTGAAGACCAGTCCTGGAGCAAAAATTTGCATTTGGGTGGTGAAAATCGCATCCCAAACATTCTCAAATTCCCACTCAAAGTGTTCAGAAGACTCTGCATCTTGTCAGCGTCTTCACCTAACAGGACTATGTCATCTGCATATTCTAGATCTAAGGAAAATTCACCTGTGATCGGGTCAACGTCTTTGTAATTAGGTGACGAGAGGGAAACCTCCATAAGAATATCTATGATAAAATTAAATAAGAATGGGGATAGTGGGCATCCTTGACGGACACCACTTGATGAGTATAGCTCCCTGGACAACTCACCATAGGCTCTAACATGCCCACAAGTGTTCGAGTAGAGAGCTTTCAATAAGGTGATGTACTTACTAGGCACGCCTTTCAGTGACAGACACTGCCATAAGACTTCTCGATCAACGGAGTCAAATGCCGCCTTCAGGTCGAGAAATACAGCTATTGTCGGGCGTCTGTAAGCATGCCTATGTTCCAGGACCTGGCGCAGTGTGAATATTTGGTCGATACATCCACGGCCAGGTCTAAAGCCTGCCTGGTTTTCTCGGGCTTGCTGTTCCCGAGCTCCACTCAGGCGTCGGAGAATTATAGAACTTAGGATCTTAGACACTATGTTTGTCAGGCTGATTCCTCTGTGGTTATCACAAGAGGACTTCTCGCCTTTCTTGAAGACTGGGATGATGAGTGACTTAGACCAGTCGGAGGGGATCGTATTTGATTCCCATATACTGGCTAACACTTCCGTTAGCCTGACTAAGAGAACTCTACCACCATTCTTGTATACCTCAGCAGGTAGTCCGTCTGGTCCTGCTGCCCTTCCCCGTTTCAGGCTACCTACCGCTTTCTCAACTTCTTCTAGTGTTGGGGGACCTGTCTCTATGTCCCATTCAGGGTCCGACTGGATAGCGGGCAGCGCAATGGTGGCTGGAGGCCAGTTAAACTGTTCCTCAAAGTGTTCTGCCCATCGTCCCAGTCGCCTTCCCTGCGAGTGAATCGCCGATCCGTCCTTCTCCGCTATAACCTCACTAACTGTTGTTGACCATTTCCCCCCAGTCTCCTTAATAAGTCTAAATAACTGTCTACTGTTACCGATCGCCGCTGCCTTTTCCATCTCTTTAGCCTTTGCTGCCCACCACTGTTCACGATCGTTGCGCAGACTTTTCGTCAGTTATTTTTAAGTTGCGCTCGCTCTTCATTGTACTCAGAGCCTGCAGGGATGCATTCACGTGCATCCATTAGTTTGGAAGAAGCTGCTGATATCCACTGGCTCTTTTTAGCCATTATCTTGGAGTCGGCTACAGTCTCCAGTGCTGCTTTTACAGTAGACTGAAGATGGCACCAAGCTTCTTCTGGATGAGTGACAGTCTTTTGTTCCGATAACTGCCTAGCCAACTTCTCACTGAACACGGCTTTGGTGTTTTCGTTGTCCAGCAGAACTCGTAGTGGTTTTGTTGCCAAATTTTTTCTACGTCCATTGAGACGCAGGCATATACGTGCTCGGACCAACGCATGATCGCTGTCCAAACACGTACTCCAGAAGGAGCGGCAGTCTTCCACCGATCCTCTCCAGCGATGACTAATAGCAATGTGGTCTATCTGTGTCCATCGCTGAGTCGAGCTCGGTGGACGCCAGGTCAGACAGTGCCTTTCTTTATGTCTGAAATTTGTGCTGGCTAAAAATAGGCGGTTATCTGAGCATAGTTGTAATAGGCGATCACCGTTATCTGTACGTTCAGCTGGGATTCCGAAAGTGCCACCTAAGTGCCTTTCTGCCTCACTCAGTCTACCCACCTGTGCGTTGAGGTCACCTGCAACAACCACTACGTCCGAACGTTTGGCTTTCGAGAGGAGGTTAGACAGTTTATGGTAGAACTCGTCCTTCACTTCATCCGAACTACAGTCAGTGGGTGCGTAAGCAGAGATTACAAAGAGACAACGGCGAGTCTCACTATTCCTTTTAGTTCTCACTGTGCCGTTCAGCCTCATAGCGCAGAGGCGACTATCAACTGGGATCCAGTCTAGTAGTGAGTTTTCTGCCCTGGTGCTTAATGCTATACCTACACCTGCAAGACCACGAGAGCTAGCTATCGAATCTCCAGAAACTCGAAGGGTGAATTTTGCAGATTCACCAGATTGGTCAGGAGAGGTCAGGTGAATAACCACACTTGGGTCCTGTATGCGTGTCTCACAAACACAGCACACATCCATGCCCGAGTTGCTAGAGTCTTTGCCAACGAAGCCTGTTGGCCAATTTGACGGAGGGTGCGGACATTGAAGGCTCCAATATGTAATTTGGAGCGTGGTTTAAGGAGACCAGGGATGCTGTTCTGTGGACTCAGATCGTTGTCGAAGGCTGCAGAGGTAGGAGAAATTGAAGATGATGCAGCATCATTAATTAAGAGACGTGAAGGAAGATTAGAAGGTAATGATGGAGGAGGAGGATAGCAGTCAGAAGAAACTTGGGTGCTGACAGAGTTGTGAGGGCGGTTGACACTTCCCGGCTGCCCACACCGTGGAAGGCTATTTCTTCTTAAGGTACCTGAAAGAGATTTGTGTGACCGCAGAGCCCATCGGACATCTGCTTGAGGCCTGTCACACCCAGCCTTTTGAGTATGATTATTTTGAATTTTTGTATTTTTGGGGCCGGATGGTCGAAAGGAAACGACAAGTGAACCAACACCGCCGGCCCGGCAGACCGTGGGGCGTGGTGGAGTGTGTTATTTTTGGGGCCGACCTTTTCTAACCCCCCCTTCCACTGAGAAGGCAGCATCAGCTTGGCACTGCTGGTCATCCAAGGGAAACACCTTACTGCTGTCACACCCCATCCAGCTAGCAGCAGTACGACTTCGCCCTCAGACCCCCATCATAGTGTAGCAATTTACACTATAACGGTAACTGCTTTTCGTCTAACCACTACCCAACAGACCTTTCTGGTATGGTAGGACCTCGAGGGAACAAGCGTTCCACCAGCATAGCTCGTTGGGTCATTGTGATATGCAAGCCCGACCACCACGTCAAGGTAGCAGCTATCGGTCCTGATCCGTAGGAGGAGATTGGTTCCCATTGCATGTGAGGCTTCGACGCTCTTGAAGAAATCATGATAGCCACTCGAAAACTCAGTGTGCTGTGTTCGTGGTTGTCGTTTGGATGACAGTGACGGAGTAGATAATTGACTGTCCAGTTGACAGTTTGGAGAGTCCACTTCCATTCCATCCGCAGATCCCTCGAAGATTCCTTGCACTTCTATGCTCTACCTTCTAGTCTCTTTTGCAATCCGGGTAGCCTTGCCAGCCAGCCTGCCAGCCTGACAGCCAGATTCAAACACTCTGCGCACATTCCATGTTCCTATGCTTACTTTTGATTTCATCGAGGGAGAGAAGACACATTGGCCAATTGGCTTCCGGAAGGCTTTCACCAACCGGTGTCATTTCGTCTTCTCGATTCCAGCGAGGAATGAGTTTATTTTTACTTTTTATGTTTTCTCTGTGCTTTGAAGTTTGTTTAGCTATTGGCTTGGTTTTACGGTGTATGTTTGCTAGTCGTATGCCCAAAGTCCGCTCTTCAGCCGGTCTTAGGTCCTGCTGGTACCTAGTGAACTTGTTAACTATGCGAGGTTCTGGTCTGAATTATCAACTGCCTTTTCGTGTATTCACACACACATTTGAATATTTTCGACGTTTCATTGAAAGTTGCCTCATCTTACAATTTATGAAGGAAATTATTTACAGGAAATTCAATTAAATAAGACGTGACCGTACCACAAAGAAACAAGCTGTGTGAATTAAACATCAATACCAATAAATTGCTCTTCAGTAAATCTTTTCATATTCAGACTACAAACGTTGTACTCAGTCATTCAAATGTAACTGACGTCACAGCAGCACTCGCAGATGATGACATAACTTACGGATCCATAAGCTTACTGATGTAAACATTTTAACAGACACTAGATACATAAATTGGTTGACAAATTATTGCTTACTGTAACAGTGATACGAACAAACATGATAGCCAACTCATCATATTTTTATTTTTCCTCCTTCGGATTTTATTTATGCCAATAACACATATTCGAAGGATGCATAAACCGGTCTAGGAAAAAGAAATCCAATCTCATGAAAATTCACTCAGTGTATCATTGAAATGATTCGGCATCCTTTGTTTGATTGAAATCTCACATTCCTTTTCCGAAGTTGTGGAAAGAGTAGATGCAATGCAAAGAGTGTGCACCAGCTTACTGATAGCGAAGTGAGCTAGGAGATATTCTAATTATGGCAGCATCAGTGAAATACTTGAATGAGTGCTGGTTGTGAAAGTGATAAGAAGGTACTTCACAGGATGAAAATACTTCATTTTTTATTCGATTGATGTGTTTCAGTAACACACGAACCACGTTTGCGAAGAATTGATAGAAGATGAAATGTCACCATGTTTTTCTCATAGTGATAGAGAATTTCCAGCGAATAAACTGAATCAGCCATTACAACATAAACAACACAGTCTCAAATTGAATGTTTAAATTGGTGTGTTGCTTCTTGCATTCCATCGAACAGTCTTTCAAATCCGTTCTCTAGATGTTTTTGTCGAATGATGGAGTCTAAGATCGAGTCTTGATCAAAATTTATGAGCAGGAATATAACTATGCGAATACCATGACATACCTCGTATGTGTGTCAATGTTCTCCTCTTCTGTTATTAATTTGGATCTAAAGCTGCAAAATTAAACGGAATGATGAATTTTCCCCATAAATCATCCATCATCCATCTTGTTCATGATGAAGAAATCGGATGCATTTGCGGGCCTCAAGTGAACCTTATATTCTTTTTATGATTGAATCAAGAGCATTTCTGTTAGTTACAAATAATGCATGGTCACATCATGTATGCATTAAGGTATTATTACTCAACATTGCCAACTAATTAAGTTTAGATTCAACTGCTTCTGTCCTCACCTAACGACTTAACTTCTAACAGTTTCTGACGTGCACATGAAAACTGTACTTCATCATCAATTCTACTGACTTTATTGTTTTGGTTAATGAGACTTAAAGTACACATCCAGTACCTGATGCTCTACTCACATGAGTTCAATATTCAAACAAATATGCATGAAGTGTTGCGAATTGTCGGAGTTATTTTCATCAACTCATTCTTCTACTAAATATTTCAGCGTTCCTAATTCAGCCTTCCTCGAAGTTGGTGTAAAACTTTGTGTTGAAATCTGTTTGAGTTTATTGGTCATATAACATTCAAGTTTTAAGTCAATAGCTTAGATTTCCTTAGCACAAATTTTAATGTAGTAGTAATAACATTTCCTGGTATTGTATTTTGCAACAGTTTTCACACTTCCCCATACACAGAGTCGACGACTGAACACTTCGAAAGATGTTCAGGATGTAGATTTATTCATTCCTCTCAATCCGATCACTTGGTTATCAAAGTGCATAATGTGGTTGTTAGATAAATTCATTTAACTACAAATTCTTCAAGGCATATATTAGTGTACTGTTTGAGTTAAATTCGAATGATGATCACCAATAAAAACCATGTTCCATTCTCTTTGTTGACATGCTGGTAAAAAGTGAAGAATTATAAAGCTGACAGATTAAGGAAACATTTCGTGTCAACAGTAAATGGCTAAGTTCATTTCAAATGGAAGCTGTATCAAAATCCATTTCTTTAAAGTTAACATGATATTGAAAACATTCTGATGTGAATTATTTTTTTCAACAAAACTGTAAACTTACTGCTGACGTGGTTGCTAGAGACTAGCTTTTAAATTACATCTAATTTTCTTGACAAAAGTTAAAATAAGACTTATGATTGCTGCGACTGTCCTGAAATGCAAATGAAAATTGAGACAGTGATTAGTCTGGTTGTTTACTATGCCAAAAGTGTAAAATGTAGTGGAGGATAAGTGAGAAGAGAAGTTTTCTACATCTCATGATATAAGCTGACCACCTGAATGTGAACAATATAAAGATGCAACAGAAGCAACAGAGTGTTAACTGATGAAGACTTGGGTCAATAATGGGAAATGACTAGCTTTCCAATTCTATATTTCATCAAATTCAACCAATAGACACACGTTTGACTTGGCTGAATGATTTACTGGATGTATGCAGTCGTGGAATTTCACTACATCGCATTCTGTATCTGTTAAAATTCTCCACGATATTTTACAGCAAAGTGGTTGACACTAGTGCTAGAACTTCTACACTGCCATATGATGGAATCTAGTGTAAAAGATAAATGTAGCTTTGTCAAAAATGTCGAAAGCATTATTTCAACAGTCAAGACGATGACGTCACTGCACAGAATATTATTTACCAACATCATTTATGCCAAGACAGTAGACTCTGTCCACCATCAGTCAACAGTATAACCGATAAAAGTGAAAATCTAACACCAGGAAGTCAGCCAAAAAACCTTACCATGCGCGATGGTTGTTACTTTTATGTTCTACAAGTGATTTGACAAACTAATTAATGGAATCTTTATGGGCTCCATTCCAGGTCGTATGCCGGCTGATATCTTCGTGATGAAACTTAGAAATGGTCTACATTGTCACAGGCTTAACTAGGAAGGTGATACCATGTATGTTTGTTACAGAGATGTCAATTTCGTGAATGTAGGAGTATAGCTTAGACATTGTGGTATATTTTATTCCCATGTTTACTGGAATTGTAGCACAGCGAAACAGTATTATTATTTTAATGTTTCACTATGTGACAATTTCAGTAACCAAACTAGAATGCAGAGCTCCTCGACATTCTCAACAATGTCAACTCAGTTATGGAGTTTACCTGTGATTAAGAACAGAAGTGTACATTATTCCCAGATGTCCTGCTCACAAACAACACAGATGAACATATAAAACAGAATATGTTTAAGAGATGAATGGACCGGTGAATCTATTCATTTCCATGGCTTGACACCAACAAGGTACAAGAGAGATATAATCAAATATTTTAGCTACAGAACACAAAATATATGCTCTGCCAACTGTGTAGAAGGCGAAGTTGCAGCAAAATTATTTTCAATAAGACTTGTTCAATGAGTGTATGTTGAAGACTAGAACGAAGATCGTGTAGCTAATAAAACCCTGTGTCATAGATAAATTTCGAAAGGTGTCACTGCTTCAGATATCACAGTAAACCGACCAAGTAAATCTTTTGAAGGAGGACTCACTACTGTGAAGCTTTTCGAAAGCTTCTTAGACTAACCAAAACAGACGCAGTTCTTCAAGGCCAGGTTATCTGGAAATGGTCACTTAAGTGCGTATTAATGAGTTGAACTGCTCCTCTGCAACTCGTTACATAGGCTGTGAACAGAAGTCTTCCTCTATGCACACTAATAGTGATTTACCATGTTGCCTAGGGAAAAGAATCACAAAATAAATAAACAATGCAGTTAAAAGAGTGTGGACATCGAACCATGTAAGTTCTAGCCCTTTTTGGAAGATTTCCTGTTTTTGAAGTCTCTTCGAATAGAGCATGTTTGAATCTCTTATCAGTGGAAGAAGCTGTAGAAATGAACACAAGGAAACCTGATCTATGTCTTCAAAATAAATATGTGCATCTACTTTGTCAACCGTCACCCACAATACAGTCAAGCTGTTTATCAAGCTCAAATTTCACTTTTGAACAAACCATCCCATCCTTCGCTTTATCTCTGCTCTTTTATCGAACAAAGTTTATAGACATATTCAGTTAACTCTACGAAATTTTTTATCGATACCATCAAATAAGAATAGTCATTTTCAACCTGTGATTAACACTTTACTTTTGTTATTTTATTGTTATATTCATATAATTTTTCATTGTCACTGACTACAGATTTCGTCTTGTTGTATCGTGACTGCTTCATTTCAGGTTGATTTCATTGCATAACCAACACTGGAGGAGTGGATTATCATTTCACTTTCGAAAAATTAACATCCGCTTCATTCCATCTCCATTGTTACCCATTATACTGATTGTTTCAATATTGAAGTGATTTTATTATGCGACATACTTTGATTATCTTATTACATCAATACTCATGGATTTGTTGGTGTACAACATAAAGAGGAAGTCACTGAAACCACCTTCTTCCTCAAACTACCTTCATTCAAGATAATAATTAATGAACCTAAATTACTAAAAGTGATGCTCATTACATCATTTATCGTTCTTATCACTGAAATGATTGACAGTGATTGTGACCTTTACGTTTTTCATTGTGTGAAAATAGATAGATGTCAGTGTCTAATTCAGAGTCTGTCGCCCTAACAGAATGGATAAAAGAAATGGAAGTTATGATGTTAGTCGCATTTCCGTCCTCATACTTATCGGTTAACCAACTCGTTGCTCATATTTTATCAGTTTGACTATCTGTGATAGTCGTGGTTTGGCAGACTTATATTGATACTGGATGATGATTGAAAGTGAAATGAAAATTTGAACCACGGCAGGATTCGAACTCGCAAACACCGGCTTTCTAGCCCACTCATCGCTGGTTTGTGTTCTGCTGTGGTCCAAACTTTTATTAAACATGCAGTAATCACTCACATCGTAATGAAAATGATGTGTTTTCACACAAGTAACTTACATACATGACAGCGTTATAAAGTCGTACTTGTACGTACTAAAAATGTTTTGTTGACTATGAAAAGAAAAGGTGTGATCAAAACTCAGTATTATACGATATTACCTCTTTAGACTGACAAGACCGATGAATCTATTAGTCATTACCTTCAACTCTTCAATTGGCGACTAAATGATAATGGTTGATCTTGAGACCAGCTTTCTCACCTCCTTCATCAACGCTTCCACAGTCGTACTTACTGTGCTTCCTAAAAAGTTGGCCATTTCTTTGTAGTTTTCTTTCAAACAATCTGAAAATCCTGAATAGATGAGAATGCAGGTTGACACTTTTAGCATAAACATTTCTAGAAATTAACAGCAATATGTGTAATTAGAAGACAACTATGATGTGAATGAGCCCGTCTGCCAGCAGAGGCCGAGTAGTTTGTGTCAGTATAACAACGGGAAATCGCTAGTATCAAAACAGCAACTGATACTCGTTGCACGATAGGTGGATTTCTTTCCCTAATGGCCTAGAAGATCACGTTTCTCTCGTTTAAAGCAATGGACGCTGGGTTCCAGTCTCAGTCGGAACAACGTCTTGCAGTGGGGTATAGATACATCCGACCCACACGTTCCAAACAGGAAGTGAGGTGAGTCCTGGATTTCACTGCTAATCACTAAAAGGAATAGAGTGACATTGAGGAATTCGATAATAAGAAAGATAATGAAGAGACAATGATGAGATTTGAAGACAACCTTGATAATACGATTAGATAAGCACTACTATGGCAGGTGTAGCGTAAAGTTGTGTATGGTTAGCACTCTAGCGAACTTAAGTATAACCACCTGACAGTTTCTATACTAAATTGGACAGGCTGTTTAATATCAATTTTCGGAAACTTATCAATCACATGTTTTGCAACGAACAATGATGGTTATTTGCCACCTGTGCAGAGCAATGCTGGTGAGTCTAGCTGTTTTATAGTGATTCATCTTGGCACATGTTCCCTAGATAACCATGTTAAACACAGATTAATTAGATTTCAAGAAGTCTGTAATCTAATTCAGGGCAGTCGGTCGTACAGATAGTAAAGCCAAGAGTGTTGTATTAACTAACTGGAGTTATAGGCAGTTTCTGAGTTTGCAAGGAAATCTTTCAAATGGCATAGGTTAACTCCATCTATTGTTTACCTGAAAAAGGCGGTATTGATGATCTACTGATTTATTACTCTTTTCCACTCTCGATAATTCTTGGTTTCAGATACAGATTATGGCAATGCTGTATCACAAACGAGCATATCATGAAGTTGTGAGGCCCAAAATATTTTCATTGAAGCAGATGACTAGATGTTACCTATCAGTTAAAACAGTTTTCCGTAGAATGGCTCTCAACTGAAATGTGAGTAAATTAGCCTCAAATGATAAATTGATCACCTGTTCAGGTTTAAACTATCTTTCTGTCTGTTGCACTTTCTAGAATGATTCTTGTCTTTGTCAACAGTTTGTACTACAGTGTCAGTAAAATATGAGAGACATTCCACTGAGTTCTAACAAGACTGGTTAACACAAGTGGTCGCTGAGAGACACTGACTGTAATTCACTTGACACAAGCAGTGATGATAACCTATCGGTTGAACAAGCATTTCACCACTACCTTATACACCTTTTGAACGCTAAAATACTTGCAAAATGAGCAGATATGTTACATGAACTGTCATTTGAATGGAATATAGAAATATTTACAAACTTACTATTGTTGAAAGAGTTGTTTGAAGTGATGAAGCATAGATTGACTATATATTATATTAAGCGTATGACATAAGTAGATAAGAAGTTGTTAGACAGTCAGCAATTATTTCCTAACATGAACTTTGATCTTGAAATAATTTTGTATTTCATGTAATAAAACAAACCTGTGACCTTGAAATCATATGAAACAAGCACTAGAATAATATGATTCACATTTCATGATTTTCAAATTTATTCTTCATCCTAATTGGTCGCAATTATTATTCCAGTATCATTTTCATACTGGTTCAGTACTTCATGATTGGAAACTAATTACTTCAGTGTATACCAGAGAAAGCTGTCAGGATCATGGATGTGCATTGCTCAAATGTCGCATACTACGAGAAAACACCAGTTCACTTCTCTCAGGCTTCCAAGGATTTTTTAACTGATGTCAGTCTATGATATTTATTGATCTAAAATCAATAAATAAGTCCTCACAAACCTACAAATTAAATGCAGACGTAACAAATGTCATTCGTTTCTCTTCCTGTTACTTTGTAACGATGAAACTGACTGATACATATATTGCTCAAATCCCCAAATATCTAGGTTTTCACTTCATCTTCAACCATCATCCCGTACCAGTTACATCAATCTGTCAAACCTTGACAGTCTCACCTATATTCAATAATTACGAATACGCCATTCCCTCTTCTGAATGAAGTTCAATTTGTATTGAAACAAGGAAACCTGGATTGGTGGTCAGAGAGATTATGAAGAATCGGCAGTGACGCATCACGGAATATCAAGGTAGCAGGTCGAAACCTAACATAAGGTTCAGACACTTCCAGCATCTGTCTCTCAGCCCAGTTGGTAGAGCTGCAGGCCATCAAACTGGAGGCTAATCGTTTGAATCTTGATACAACTGAGTTAGTCTTTTCAATTCCAACCATCACCCAGTATAAATGACGAAATTTCTCTGGAATTGAGTAAAGTAAAGGAAAGGCATAGGACTGTCGACTGAAACAAATGAATCTGCCACTTGTGCAGTGTGCTAAGTCGAAGAAATTTTATATTTCATTGCTCCTTTGTTATTCAGTATGCAGTGTCGTGTTTCTTTGGCCGAAACCATCTTTGGGTGGTTTAAATTATCAGAATAACTTCCTAATCACCTTGCATTGAGAATTGTTTGACTAGATAAACTATGTAAATAAATGCAGTAGGTTTATAATTATTTCAGTTTTCCAATAGACAAATGGCTGTCAATTTGTGTAAGTAAGTGACAGCTAACTTCATTGAGTACCTTCATCATTGTATCATGGATGACTATATTATTGGGCATATGTGCCTTGTGTATTGGCTTCAGGATACTGTTCATTCGTCGATGGACCTTAATCTTCGATTAGCAGATATCCTTAGTATAAAATTATGCAAATAACAAGGACAAGTGGTTTATTTGACTCTCTTTCTTCGGTAATTTAGTTCTTGAGTCTGCCTTTTCAACACTTTATGCACACATCATCCTGTTATCACCCTTATTGATTTTCATTTTACGAAAAATAATGTTGGAAAGACATGGTAACAGATGAAGGTAATCTTGATATAATTACCATCCGGAAAACTGTTACATATTTAGGAGGACTAAGATTTGACCATGCAATCAGAGATGACCTTTGGAAAATAATGAAATCATGCGTGATCCTTGGATGTCAAAGCCATTTGGAATGTTGAAAAAAAGCAAGTATGACCAACCCGCACATTCGAATTCCCTAATGTTAAGAAAATACTGATTTTCATTTATTTCAATTTCACCAAAGATGTACAAGAAACAAATAAATTGTGTGAAGAGATGAATTCCCTTATGATGGATTAGCATTCATCAGTTTTTCACAATCCAACTACATATTTTTCCTTAAATATCCAAAATAAAGTATCTCTGATGCTCAAAGTTTGGATGAATACCATAAAATGTGCTGCTAATATGTGTTTTCAAAACTCACTAAACAGTGGACATCACAGATGTATTGACAAAATCAGAATTTTTATCAGGTACCATCCCAAAATTCCTGCAGTTGGATTGTTTTTGTTTTTCTAGCATATTAACAAAGAATAGCCAATAAATGGCTATTTTCAAAATTAAATAAACTTACCTAATAACATTTCATTATCTATGATTACCCGAGAAGAAATTTGGCTGGTCGCTGCTCCAACACTATGGAATACCACAAACACTTATCAATCTCATTCAACAACTATATGAAGACACCACATGACAAGTAATTCACAATGAGAAGCTCAGTGATGCCTTTGGAGTGAAGACAGGAGACAGGAGTGAAACAAGGCTGCCGTCTTCTATCACCCATCATCTTTCTGATTGTGGTCGACTGGATCATGCAGCAGCAAACAGTGAGGAGCGAGAAGAGGGGGATACTCTGGACTGGGGAAGAGATCCTAGGAGATTTGGATTTGACCGCTGACTTATGTCTGATGTCACACACACTTGAAGATCTACAGGCGAAAGTAACAAGTTGACAGAAGAGGTGGGGCATGGCTTGGCATGGCATGGCAGGGCAGGTTGGGGCAGCGAAGACGGGACTTCAAGTGGACGTAGAGAAGCCAGAGGTGGTGAAGATGCCCAACCAACACCACCACCACCACCACAACAACAACAACAAAAATAGCAACAACAAATTCCAATCACCATGAACGGGAGAAACCTGAAGGAAGTAGCCTCCTCCGCCTATCTAGGCAGCTCTGTTTCAACTACACGTGGCGGCACACATGACGATGTCAAAGCCAGTCACGATCGGAAAAGCAAGCAAGACAGGCTTTCATCATTCTGAAATAATCACTGTGGAGATCTTCTGCACTCAGTATGATGCGTGAACATAATCCGTAATTCAACTACGAACTGGAAATATTGAGTGGCTGTGTTCCAATATCAATATTTATTCTTCGAAAAATCTCATTCTTCATTGCTTGTCTTACTGGCAAGATGGACCGATTAAATCTCAAGTATGTCCACGTATGCAAAGTAAATGGATTGAGCAGTCTATACAACTGCACAATCATCGAACGGAAAAGAAATTAATTTGCCTATCTTACAATTTGCATCAAAATATTTCTATTTCTGATTAATGAAAGCAATATTTCTTCTGATTCCATATATGTTCAAAGATACCTGATACACGCAAATCCTCCAAATGGAATCTAGACGCCGACTTCATGAGTACAAATGCACTGAAATCTTTAGGTAGGATATTCCTTAAACTTATTTCGTCGGTTATTGAATCAACCAACATAGTTATGTACAATACGAATGATTTATTATCTGCTCCATATACGGAGATTTCCATTACTCATATCGAGAAGACGGAGAACGAGTCAGAAATGTGTAAACTTTATCGCGATATTGTGCATTTAGTTCAGTATGACTACAGTGGTGTGATGTGTCAACCACTTCACTCACCTGGGGAAATGCATCACCTCAAACAGGGTGATTGATGATGAAATCAGAGGATGAGTATACTGCAATTCAGTATGTTCTGTTCTGTTACACGGCCTAGAAATAGCCGTTGAAGGTGAATGACATGAAGAAGTTACACGGCGGCCTGTTTTAATTTGGGCTGCCGAAAACGTCCCACCGAATTTATCTAATCAAATTCTTCCCGTTCAATTTGTTTTAATCTTTTAAAAACATCTTTTGAACGCGTCAAATACTCTTTTAAATGGTTTCAAACTGCTGTTTTTCAAGCTAGCAAGCAACAATACAGAGAATAAACGAAACTCCGATGCAGTTATAAATGCAAAGAAATACAGTATATTACTAATCCATGGATTATTATTTTATTTAATATTCATCTCCTGGGTTCCTAATGGAACATAGCGCTTCAGTAGCACATCTCAAGTGCACTCTCTTCTCTGCAATCTTTTCAACCTGTCTCCACGACTGCCCATAACCTCTCATTTCCTCCTCGCACCATCTCCTCCATGTCACCCTCACCTCAGATGCCCAAATACTCGCTTCCCATCTCGATCCCACTCGAGTGCCTGGCGTGTGATATCCCCAGTCGACCTTCTCAGTGTATGACCAATACAATCCATCTCCACTTTCTTCCTTTCATCTACATATTTGTTGAGTGATAGGTTCTTGGTTGGTTCGTTAGCAGGCCAGAGTTCCTTGTTGCATACTACTATTATCCTGGCCAGCTGATCTCCAGTAACGAGGCAGTGAAGGCGATTGATCATGAATGTCTGTAGTTTGTTGGAAATACATTTCGTAATGCGCCAAGTCTATCAACCATCACATAGAAGCACTGACTACTTGACTTGACTGACTTGGTGTTGAAAAATGGGATGTTGTTCACGCTTTATGCTGAGTGTAGAAGATCTCCACAGTGATTATTTCAGAATAATGAAAGCCTGTCTTGCTTGCTTTTCCGATCGTGACTGGCTTTGACATCGTCATGTGTGCCGCCACGTGTAGTTGAAACAGAGCTGCCTAGATAGGCGGAGGAGGCTACTTCCTTCAGGTTTCTCCCGTTCATGGTGATTGGAATTTGTTGTTGCTATTTTTGTTGTTGTTGTTGTGGTGGTGGTGGTGGTGTTGGTTGGGCATCTTCACCACCTCTGGCTTCTCTACGTCCACTTGAAGTCCCGTCTTCGCTGCCCCAACCTGCCCTGCCATGCCATGCCAAGCCATGCCCCACCTCTTCTGTCAACTTGTTACTTTCGCCTGTAGATCTTCAAGTGTGTGTGACATCAGACATAAGTCAGCGGTCAAATCCAAATCTCCTAGGATCTCTTCCCCAGTCCAGAGTATCCCCCTCTTCTCGCTCCTCACTGTTTGCTGCTGCATGATCCAGTCGACCACAATCAGAAAGATGATGGGTGATAGAAGACGGCAGCCTTGTTTCACTCCTGTCTCCTGTCTTCACTCCAAAGGCATCACTGAGCTTCTCATTGTGAATTACTTGTCATGTGGTGTCTTCATATAGTTGTTGAATGAGATTGATAAGTGTTTGTGGTATTCCGTGGTATTGAAGCAGTTTCCAAATTACATCTCGGTCGACGCTGTCAAAGGCTTTTTCAAAGTCGATGAAGTTGAGGTAGAGAATTGAGTTGACTGCCATTCTATACTCTGTTCTTCGATGATGCATAGAGTAGCGTTACAATTTGGTCCGCACATTATTTGTACTTCCTGAAGCCAGCCAGCCTGCCTGTTCCAGTCTTAGTTTTGAATCCAGTGCATCCTTTAGTCCCTCCAAGATGATGCGGCATAATATTTTGCTTGCTTTGGGTGGCCAGGAGTGGAGCATGATTTCGTGCCAGTTCTTGCACACAATTAGGTCGCCTTCTTCGGCAGTTTGACAAGGCAGCCCTTCTTCGAATCACCAGGTACCTTCCCTTCCTTCCAGTGTTTCTGCGATGGTGGTTTGAGCATGTCCGCTATTGTCTCTGCATCTGATTTCAGCGCTTGTGGCGGGATTCCATAACGTCCTGTTCACTTTTAGTTCTGTGGCTGGGATGCGTTTGGTATTTCTGGACGAATTGGAAAGCCATAGATCATCGAATTCCCAACCAATACTAGGGTGGTTACTGAGTTCGCCATGAAAACCACAGGTTCTGGGTTCAATACCTCACTTGGTCATGGGTACGTACAGCTGGAGAGTGCCTTACTCAAAACAAACACCAGGTTTTCAATGCTTCTCCAACTATTGTCACTCCGTGATGAATACTATTTCATGAATATCAAAATAATTCGATGAAATCACTTTAACATGATTGCCTTGATCAAAGGTCAAGAGACCTTAACAAATGTTTTCACTCACTTCAACTTTTGGAACTCCTTACACATATTTCATTCTATTTGCTTAGACTTTGATTATCCACTCATTTGATATGTTGAAATTAAGCTGGTTTTTATTTTCATGTACTTTGACTGATCAATTGTCTTCATGATCATGCTGTTTTCACCCTTGATTTTAACCGTTAGTGTGAATATTAATATCGTTATCATTATTATGATTAACTTGATGGTCAGTCAACTTATATTCCAGAATCCCGTTTGTAATGGTAGGCTAGATGGCAGCCAGTCACTATCTACATCCATAAGTCCCCAGATATTGAAACAAACTCCCAGTAAATGCTACAGTGGTGGACATGGTGAAGATAAAAATGAGTTTAAGGAGTCTAATAATTTGAATCATGTTACATTGATGAATAACAGTAATCTCTCATCAGGGCGATGATAAAAGAAGCCGACGTTTGATCAGAAAATATTAATGAAAAGCCAGAAATACTTGCAGGGGGTTTGCAAAATGATGTAAGGTGTTTTATGCCATCCAGGCTTTCTACAACTACACCTCAAAATAAATGTCCACAAGAAGTTCTCAGGGAGTATCAGTGCAAGCCCAATCATCAACTTCAACAGTTACAGAGATACCAAAAGGGAGTTCGAGGCATCTGAACGCACATCAAATGAGATAGTTGCTTTGTATGACAGTGGATTACGCTGTCAAAGACAATTTCTGTCCACTCAAGGAAATGGACAATTTGGATGTTTACAAGCCAGCTTCACTTCACACATCACATCACCTAACAAGCACTCTACTAGAAAACCCCGAAACCACTCAGTTTCACAAATCAGTCACAGTGCATCAGGTGGTCAATGGCAAGTCATCAGAGTGAAATACTGTAGTGTTGGCTATGGCAATTTATCGCGTAGCGGAGTACCCTATCATTCGGACCAACTATACTTAGATTACTCTAACCTAACCTGGACACAAGATCTCAGTCTGTCATCTTAAAAACTGAGACCTACTGGCCAAAACAGCCAAAATTGTATGACAACACTGCCTTCTCAAAAGGGCGTAAGTGAATTTGATTCACTAAGTAAGCATTGCAATGTTAAAAATTCCATGGTGACGATTAAATAGACACCACTAGTTAGCGTGACCTCATGGCATTTTTGCAAAATCAGGGTCATACAACACTATAATTTCACATCTTAAACTTTAGGAGATGCTTTTTTCAAACACTTATAAGTCCACGTTTTTAAGCGAGCAGGGGAGTATTCATCGAATATCCTTCTCCAAAGTGTCAGTAAATTATTTCCCTCATTTCCAGCTCCAGTTTAAATACTTCAAACCACACCAAAGCGCAGATTTAGTCAATCGATAGACATCATTGTACAATCAGTCTCTATTCCAAGTTGGGGGGAAGGGCGGGGTGAGAGGTTATAGTGTGCCGAAAGATTGACAAACTATTCATGAGAGGCCGTATACACCCTGAAGCCTTTTACAAGCAATCGTTTTGCTTTGAAGTCTCGAGAAAAAATACTCGTATCAGTGTGTAGGCATCAAGTTGGTTAAAGAGATGGGAAACTAACAAAATTTAAATCTGGTAGGTTTCGAAATAACCTTGGTCAGTGCAAGTATACAGAAACCATTGTATCTTGTTTATAATTGTTGACCTAGACATTACAAACACACCTTCTGATATACATTACCGCCTTCTTTCGTTATAGAGGAAATGATCAACTACTGTGTGTAGTCTGTAGGTTGTTGTTTAATTGTCCGCGTTGTCGATATATAGTAGTAACCACGAGGTTTTAACGAGTAGACACACAGCAGAAATACTAAACTATTACCATAAGCTTGAAAAATGCCTAAAATGAAATACGTGAACTGCCACTTGATTTCCTTCAGTACTGAAATCAAACTTATCATCCTAGATACAAGTTTATCGAACTGGTATTTAGAAGGACACTCAATTCTCATTACTGAGGAGTGGAAGACCATTTAAAAGGGACTGGCATTACTTACATTTACTTTCAGAAAAAAAAGATGGCATTATGCAACAATAAACTAGTAAATTAGGAAAACATTGTTCATGACCTATCCGACCGAGTGACTGGAATCTCTGTATCAATAGCATACTGTTTAATAGCATAACGCAAAGTGGACAAATTTCGACAACAGCTGCACTGATCAATTTATATGAATGTGTGGAAGCAACTAGGTAGGAAGAACATGAATGTGGCTGTCTATCTAAATTGTCGAGATTATGCATGAGAGTCTACGTCTGAGACATTCATTCACATTGCACAGTGCGATGACTCGTCATCTATTTTATACGGGACATCAAGCAGATGCAGTGAAATCCTGCATAGTAGTTAACGGACAAAACACTCCCCGCTTACTTTCAATTACGCAAGTCAACACTGTCCAACTAACTCAACTTGAAATATGTGTTAACCAAGAGACACACCAATTTATGAATAATCTAGTGGTTCGTGACT